CTTTTTGTTAAATTCTGACACTTCAAGATGAGGAAAAAAAACATACAGCACTGTGCTTGAAGCTTTTCAAAAGATCAAAAACAGGTAATGCTAAATTGAGCCAAAAGCAGAGCTGTTTGTCTTGTTGTCTTCCTGTTTGTCTTGTTTGTGATGACACTCAGTTTTGCTAAGCAATCAAGCAAAAAAAAAAAAAAAGTCATGGAGTAGACAGAACAATTTGGTTATGATTAAAATGTGAACTCATCTAATGAAGTTGCTTGTCAGTTCAAAGAGCAAAGAAAGGAAGGATACCATACAATGATGAAGTCATCATTGCTGCTAAATGGGGAGGTAGGAAGTAGTTTAGGCATGACTTCAGTGATGGGTTGCTGCCAGTTCAGACTGGTTTGAGCGAACCGCTAGTTGCGATCTGTGGGCACAATCCCATCCTATATCACTGTGTTTTTGACGCACACATGCATGGAAGGCATGTGCAAGTGAATTGCCGTGTTGACACCGCACACATGTGAGGAAAACGCACGCGCACATTTCCAGTGCTGGGCGAACTGGTTGTTACAGTATGTGACGACCACCTCTGCATGACTTCCATATTAAAGACAAGAATTGTACCTACATGATGTACCTGCTCCCTAAAATTTTGAAATGAACCAAGATCATGGTCAACCAATTGATACGGGTCTCCCTTGAAAGCAATGAAGAAATTAGATGTAGCTTCAGAAGTTTCCTTTTTGCTTTTCAAATATTAAATTAATGGAGAGCTAGGCCAGCCAACTGGAAGATAGCAAACCTTAGTATCCAGATGCCATGTACAAAAAGAAGATATTCTTTCATATCCATGTCAGCTTCTTCCAGAAATGAGCGGTTGGCAGGGGCTTTCATTTTGTTCAAAAAGCAGTCCGGGTTATGTGTATGAGACAGTTTCCTTTTCTTACTCTGATTTCTCTTAGTGATTTGATTTGATTTCTGTAATTGGTTAGTGATTATTCAAAATTAAATCCTGTGAATATATCATGTGAGCATTTCCATAAATCAAAGCAGCCACCAGATGTCAATGGCTAAGTAGCAATCATTTTCCTAAGAAAAGTGGTGTGGTCATTTTTAAATAGGGATTTCATTTGTAATTTCATGAGTTTTTTTATTTTATTTTAAAAATTAGATATGAATTTTTGGGGAACAATCCCCCATCCCCCCCCGAATACCTCTATGTTCCATCAAAATCTTTTTGGAAAATAAAAACTAGGTAGCTAAAGTTAATGGGTTGCTTTGTGTTGAAATATAATCAAATTATAAAAGTAAACTCAGGAATGAGAAGATAGAATAGCAGGAGTTTGTCTTCTACTAAATGGGTGTAAGCATGCAGGAAACTGCAGGTTTCCATCTTTTCTATTATATTTCAAAACCTGTTGTAATATCTTTTTTACCTTGGGCAGAGAATACTGCTAAGATTAAAGGCATTATTCTATAATAAGACAAGCAACAAAGATGATAAAGATGAAGCAGTATGTTCTCAAATTTAGTGCACTTTTAAAGATGTAAAACTATAAGACAGTTGAAAGACCTTGGAGTCTTTTAATTCAGCACCCATGCTCAAGCAGGACACCCTACAGCAGTGATGGCTAACCTTTTTGCAAAGGTGTGCCAAAATTGTGCCCGCCTGCTATCGCGTGCCTGTGCCCAGACCCACAATGAAATGCACCCCACCCACCTGCACATGTGCCCCCCTGGCAGCTTTCCTGAAGCCTGGGGAGGGCGAAAATGGCCTCTCCTGGGTTCCTGGAAGGTGGAAACGAATTGTTTCCGAACTTCCAGTTGGCCTGTTGGGCCTGTTTTTGGGCCTCCCCAGGCTCTGGAAGCTTTTCTGAAACCTGGGGAGGGCAGAAACAACCTCCCCCAGCCCTCTAGAAGGCCAAAAATCAGTGTGCGCTGGAGATGAGGGCTGGCGTGCCGGCAAATATGGCTCCATGTGCCATCTGTGGCACGCAAGCCATAGATTCGCCATCACGGCCCTACAGTTCTGGAGGGATGTGCATGTGTTTGTGTGTATGTATGCTATTGACACATTTTCTAGGTCCTATAGGACAGGAGTCCTATTCAGAATCCAGCCCAGAATTTGTAATGCTCAAGCTGACTGCCAGTGTATTGACTGAAATGTTTGGCTAACACTGGGGAGACAAGATTCAATTCCACCCAAGCCATAAAAACTCAATGGATGACTTTCAACCAGCTCTTTGCTCAATCTACCTTAGAGGGTTGTTGTGGTTGTGTAATGAAGGGAAGTTCCAGCATATGGATCTTGAAAGAAAGATGAATATAAATCTTATTAAATTTCATTCAAGTGGTTAAACTAATGCATTAAAATACAATATTATTTTTGATATTTCTCATTTAGTAGGCCATTTAGTTTTATAGACAAAAATGATGGCGAATTGATTGCTTAGTGTGAAGAGAGAGCTCCAATGAATATTTTCTCCATGTCTCAATGTTAAATAGCCCTTAATACAGTAATGTTTTGCCAGTTAATTTGTTGCTATAGTAAGTTGCAATGTTTCCTAGATGTACTAAAGCGTGCCAATAAAAACATTTTTTTTAAAAAAAACATGCTTTATTATGTCTTTGTTCCATACTAACTATATGTTCAATATTCATCAAACACTAAAAAGGGGGTACAAATATCACCATTACTCAAGGAAAGATTGAGACAGTGTCTTCTAGTCTTCAGAAAGTAAGAAAGCAATCACTAATCCATTGGTGTCTAGATTGTGTTCAATTCTGATCCCACTGGAGGATGTCTCCTAGACCAGATGTGGGAGAAGGGGAGAGAAAAAAATAATGTGGCATTCACAAACAATATATATGCAGTTTTATAGAAAACAAATGTGGAGGTTTCCGTTTAGATTCAGAAGGCTGAATTACCCTTTAATTACAGGTAAATTGTTATAATTCAGTTTATTGTCTTATTCTTAATTGTTCTTTTTCTACACAGTCTCCTTATGTAACCCACCCATTTTCTTTCTGTGTTCAAAGTGCATAATCTTTTAAGGTGAAGAGGAAAAAAAGTGTTAGATTTCAACTTTGACTGGCATTCACTGATCTTGCATATAAATATATTTAATAAATAAATAAATAAATTTAATAAATTGCTTTGTGTAGCAGCTTTTACAGCCAAAACTATTTGCACAATGTGTATGTAAATGAATGTGGATTGTTTGCAGAATGATGGTCTGGCAGTTATATGCCAGAAAATGTGCATCAACTGCTGTACTTCTCAAGCACATGGACTAGTTCTTGGAAAAATGTAGAATAGTATCATTAATATTGTAGAGCATGGGTGCCCAACCTTAGCAACTGTGGATTTCAACTCCCAGAGTTACCTGGCCAGCCATGCTGACTAGGTAATTCTGGGAGTTGAAGTCCATAAGTCTTAAAGTTGCCAAGGCTGAACAACCCTGGTATAGAGTCCATATAAGGAACTACAAACACAGTGAGATGAAGTTGCAATTGACTCACAAGCTGTTATTTTGGCCTATAATAGCATGTTTCTGTGCAGTTAATAGATTAAAGGCACAAACAGTTATACTGCAATAATAAAAAAGGGGATAGGAGAAACATGTATGCTGCCAAGTGCCCTGTCCTGTTCTCACTACTATCTGGTGTGGGCATCAAGCATTTCATTGCTCCAATGGGTCTGTCATAGTTTTCTCTCCATCCTTTTTTGAAAAAGTTAGTAAACCTATCTGCCTTTACAGGTATTTCTCCATTGAAATCCATCCTGCATATTATGAAGTTGAGGATAACAACCCCTAATTACCACAAGATAAATCACTGCTGCAAAAGATGTCATTTCTGGGATGGTTCCATACTTTCAGAGATTCAGATTGAAGGGATGGCCATATAGTGGCAATTTCCAGCAACATTTTCATAGTTCTTACAATGTCTTAACTTTACCTATAGTGAAATGTACATTGATTCTGCTTGACAGCACTAGGCTATGATACCAACTTGCCATAACTTACTTTTTTTTAAAAAAATTAGAAACTCTATCATCTATCTATCTATCTATCTATCTATCTATCTATCTATCTATCTATCTATCTATCTATCTATCTATCTATCTATCTATCTATCTATCTATCTA